CTGGTGGGCGCATTTGTCGCCACAAGTCTTAACCCCAACTATAAAAAAAAAAAAACAGGCGTGGTGAACAGGCCGCAAGGCCTTTTACACTGAACTTATCAAGTAGCTATAAAAACTATTTGACATAGAAAAATATTGTCAATGGGCATTTAAGGCCTAATACTGAGGCTACGTAGGCCTAACACAATAGAAAGATATAAAACTAAAAAGTTTGCATATCTAATAGGTTAAATTACCGTTAAAAATTTAAAAATGTGACCCACGAGAAGAAGCTATTATATAAAGCCTGTTGGAGTACCCCCTCCAATTTTTTTATTTTTTGGTCAAATAGGTAACTCTAGGATTTGATGCATTGTAGTAGAACTCTTCTAGGTAGGTAGTTACATATGAAAATAACAAATTTTAGGAAAGTGTCTTAGTGTGCAAATGGGGGGCACCGCCCGCACCGGCGCGCGAGCGCGGCGGCGTCTGGCAGCGCACCGCCCTCCAATGGGCCATGGGGGAACTTAGCCACCTGGGAGTGCAGCCCTGCACCACAAATTTAGCTCATTGTGAGCTTGCTTGTTTAGCTCAAGCAAGCCCTAGCGCCAACGTGGCAATGCCAACGCAGCCAACCCTATAATGCAATAACTAAACTCAGCTCACACCCAAAAATCTGTAGGTAACTGAGTCATCTCCCCACACCAACTTTAAGCAACACCTATCTGGCGCAGCCTAGGTACCTCACTCCAGTCTCCAAAGCCTGCTGAATCAAATTGTCAATTGTCAACACTCAACATGTCATAGTGGCAAACCAGAGCTTTTCTAGAATCAGTTCATTTTTAATTTCCTCATTTACTCAAGATTCAAATCAATTTCTTAAGTATGATAATGCTGGTATCCAGGATACCTTTACAGGTCTACTTATAGGATTCAAAAATGAACTTGAGGGAGAGTCTAAAAAACTCTCTGCTTTGCCACTATGCAACATGTCCTACTCCAAAGAATTTTACCCATACTATCACTTCTTACACACGCCGTAAGGCGTAAGCATAGTGGGAAAGCAGAGAATTTTTAGACTCTCTCAAGTTCATTTTTGAGTCCTATTAGTACTAACTTGTAAAGTATCCTGGATACCAGCATTATCTCACAAGACTCACATAAAAAATTGGTTTAAATCTTGGGTAAATGAGGAAATTAAAAATGAACTGATTCTAAAAAATCTCTGGTTTGCCACTATGGCCGATTGGCCGTACGCCTTACTGGCTGCAGACCATGCCGGATCACCGTAAACCTGCTCTGCTATTTGCAGGACTGGCGTAATCCCACCGCACTTCACGGACAGAAGCGCAAACCGCCATCCCTATAACGCCATGTCCCGGCTCTCCCCCTTCGCAGCCATAAGGCTTCAATTGCTGATCAGTTGTGCGCCAGCCGCCAGCAGGCTGGAATTCTAAGAATGTAAGTTCACTTATAAAAAAGCTTTCCACCCAAGGTGAAAAGCTTTCCTTGGATACAGTGCTCTACCAGCCTGCCAGGTAAACACGGTATATTCCGACACATTAAGGACGCATCGAGAAATGAATAACTATAAAAAAAACGTATGCATTACGTAAGTTCTGTTGCCTTCACATGACTCTCAAAACACTTCACTACGCGTCAGCAACGATGAAACGTCACAAAATGTTGCCATATTTATTAAAAAGCCTTTAGAATGGAAACCTACCAAATCCCTATATTC